TGTGTGCATATATGATGTGTGATGTATGTGTGTGCTCATGTGTGTTCTAGGAGCAATGGGAGAACTAAAAATTAATTTTTCCTCATTATCTATATCCAAAATCTACTTGGGTCTGGGCTGAACCTTGAGTTTCAGTACTTCTCAGAGGGAACCCTAGTTTTTAACTCCAAAGAAAATGGGTTGGGAAAACATCACTGACTGTGGTGAGGAATGAATGAAAGTCACTTCTACTTAAGAGAGAAACCCTGCTTCATTGTTCTGAATGGAGAAGGCTGAGTGGCATCACTGTGGCTTCTCTAAATTTGCAGGGCATTGTTTCCCAAGCAGTAGCCCAGGCCAGGATCCTAACTGAGCAGCAGGTCTCATCTCTGCCAGGACTTAGCATCTCTAATATGATAGCTTGTATGCAGCATATGTTTATCAAGAATTCAAGACTATTTTTTTTTGTTTGTTCAACTAAAGAGACATATAGGTCAACCTTCTATATCTGTGGGTTCCACATCCATGGAGTCATCCAAGTAAAGATCAAAAATAGTTTTTAAAAGGCTCTCTATGCTGAATAAGAAAAGACATTTTGCCATTCCTTCAACGATATAGAACCATAACTATTTATCACATTGAATCAGCCATTGTAAGTCATCTAGAGATGGTTTAAAATACACAGGAGCATATATCACTGAATCAGGCCTTACAAGTCCCCTGAAGAGGATTAATATACAGGAAAATTTGTGCCGGATACGTATAAATGATTACACTATTTCTTATGACTCTTAAACTTCCTTGGATTTGGGTATCCTAGGGAGTCCTAGAGCCAATCCCTTATAGATCTTGAAAGATGACTATATATTGAAGTAAAGCCCATAAAGATCATGATGCATCATTGTGAACTCGAGGGACCAGGAAAGAACCCAAGCCATGATACCCCCAGAAATGAAGGGAGACAGAAACTACCTGGTTCATTTTTCCATGTTGTTTCCATCTATCACATTGTCCTGGTTTCCTGGATTCTGTTATAATCATGAGTGACATGGCATGATCTTGTGTTCTAATCCTAGCTTTACCTATGCTGAGCAGGGCTCATCTCTCCAGTCATTACAGTAGACTTGATGTCTAAGGCTCATAACACTTTCAGGGGCCCAGAAAAGTATTTTGATTTCTTTTTGAATTATGTGTATATATGGGGAGGGGTAGGGATGGGCATGTGAGTACAGGTTCCTGTGGAAGCCAAAGGCATCAGATTTCCCCCTGGAACTGGAATTACATGTAGTTGTGAGCCTCCTAACATGGATGTCAGGAATGGAACTCAGATCCTCTGAAATAGCAGTACGTGCTACTGAGCCGTCTCTCTAGCCCCTTGATTTCTTTTTAAATTATTCAAAGAATAAACTTTCAGATCAAGGAAGACACATTAGCATAGAGTAATAGAAGTGGTCATATTAGTATTCAGCTTCATACTAACACAATTTTAAAATAAGTCATAATTTTCTTAGGGAGAAAGATATCCTTGTAGCCATAGTGTACTGATCCCATAAGAGTCATAGATAAAATAGCTATAAAATAGCTATAGTTACCAGGTAACTATAACTTAATCGTTGTTCCCAAAAGAGCCTAGGAGGTAAAGTTCTTGGGTTGCCTGAGCTTAAATCCTGATGCCACTGCTTGTCAATATCACTGAGTTACTGGATATACTGGCTTACTTCTACAATCCCAGCACTCAGGAGGCTGAGGTAGGATTGTCATGAGTTCAACACTAGTCTAGACTAGAGTGAGGCCTTATTTCAAAGAACAAAAAAACAAAGTCACACTGATTTTCATTTTCTTTAGCTGTAAACTGGGTAGGTTCATAATGTGGTCTGGATATGAACTAACTTCCAAAAGACT